CAGGAGTATCAGTGAGACCCCACAGTGAAATATGTATTATTTTTTGCCACATGAATTAACTGGTGAGATTAATTGCCACGTGACAAAGGTGAAAAAAAAATGAAGAACAGCCACAAAAATGATTTAAGACAAAATGCCCATCCATGAGTGACTTAAACATGCTCAGTGTTTTAAATTTATCAAACCCAACCAATATTCAGGGCTTATTTTAACAGCATATATCAGACACTAAAACACAACAGTTCAAGGCAAAACGTGGAAGAAGAAATAAAGGCTGGAAACAGGAGCCAAGCAAACTCAAGCTTAGAATTAGGAACAGATTTTAGCAGTAGGATGAGGAGGGGTTGGAGAAACCTTCTCACAAGAGAGGAATTCCCCATCTTTTAAAACTGACAGTCAGGCAGAACATCCTGAACTTGGAACAGTCCTGTAAGAAATGAAACATTCAGAGAAGGTGATCAGGTGCTTTCCTCAGGCTTTATTTCCATGAATCCCATTTCCTCTCAGTTACAAGACAAACGAGAAAGCAGAGGAGCCTGTGCTTTCAGAAAACCATAAATTACATAAATAAACAAGTGATCTAACAGATCCATTCAGGTGCAGGGCTTTGCATCAAGAACAGCACCGTGAAGTTTAACAAATGTCAGCCCTGTCCAGAGAGGGATATACCTGTCCAGATGGGAACCCCAAGAAATAACTCTGCCTCTCCAACACTAAAGAATTCTAAAAAATTGTAATTTCTCAAATATTCTGAATATTCCAGGTGCTAGGCAGTCTTTAAATAATTCTTTTCCTACAGTTCTGTGGCAACACAGCACAACACTGGGTGACAGTTTTAAACAAAGCTTTCACTAAAAATGTTATATATTCTCACAACAATGTCTAAACCCACCAACCTACATTTAAACTGTCTTACATTAATGAGAGAAGGAAACCTTTTGCCATGTTTAGGTGTCCAGTTCCAGTGAAACTATCAGCACTTATACATGCTTTTAGAATTTAACATATACGTTTATATATAAAATATATACATTTATATACAAAATATACATAATTAGGCAACTAGTGAAGCCTGACTCCTTACAGACATGGGTGTCATACGTCTCATTTTGGGACAACGATCCCAGGTCTTCTCCAGGAGCTCCCTGTTTGTCTCCACCCACCCTAGACTGCCATAAAAAGTTCCCCACACTTAACTACTCCCTTTTTTTGGCCTTCGTAAGAGGAAGAAAGCAGCAAATCCTACTTGAACTGTTTGCTGACTCACCAGCCAGGAGCTGCCCAAAGCCACGGGGAACTTTGGGTTTGGTCAGTTTTGTCCTGCTCTCTCTCCCCCTACACGCTCATTTCCTTTCAGTAAATCTTGAACTCAGCTAATATTTATATCTCTAGAGATGAAAGATTATCAAATTGCCTTGAGATTGATCAACACAAGTCATTACAGCCACACAGTGTATGATTAGCTATGACTATGCCAAAACCGAAGTGGTGACTTCTGAAACTGAACAGATTAAAATAATTTTAATTATTTTAAAGCAACTGAGACACAAAAATTATAATACCACACAAGGCCAGATAATCCTGCAGTGATTTAACTTCATAATCTAAACATTTTGTGGTGTATAAACACCAAACTGTTACATTAAATGGCCTATCTTCTTTTACTTTGGCAGAACTGCTGAGCACACAGAGAATAGAGAGAGTGTTTCACTTCCAAAATTGTTCCACTGCCTTCATGGATAACTCCTTAACATGCATTGTTAACTTTATATTCGACAACTAATTACAGATAGTTACACTACTGGATACAATTGCTCACAATCTCTTACATTTCTGGAGATTGAGTATAAACTCCTCCATGAGCTGCCTTTAACTACCAACCCTTTAATGAGTTAAAACAGAAAAAGCTCTACATGCAACATTTAAGAATTTTTGGCATAAAGGATAAAAAATGGATGTTGTAACTGCATCCAGTCTGTAGGAGGATGTTAACCATTTGTGATGAAAGCACAGGTGTAGTAACCAATCTCCAAGACATCACTGCACCTTTTACAAACTTCTGCTTCATTTCCCCCCCTCCACAACAACAGTCTCTTCCCACACACCAGCCCCAGTCAAGAAGAAAACTCATTGAACCACCCTGGAAAATTTGCCTGAGAGGTAAATTCTGGTTTCAAAAGGGTGTACATAAATTAGCTCACACTTGATGCATCTCCTCTGTAAGCCAGTGACTTACGTGAAATGTCTAATTGCTCACCTTGGTGCTGCAGAAGTCGACACCGCGTTGGCAGAGGGGGCTGGACTGTCCCAGGGCTCACCCAAGGTCTGAAAGATGAGTCTTTTTCCCTTTTGACATCATGGACAAACTCACCTTACAAATTCAACCTCAAAAAACAGCAACTGCTGTGTAGAGACACCAATGACCAGGACAGGCAAAAATCACACTGACGATCAGGCCTTGAGCTGTTTTGTAGATCTGATGTTTTCCACCCCTACCTCTCTCCTCAGAGAAGAATTTAAATAAGGAAGAACTCAGATAAATTTTCCGCGTTCATCACAGCAAAGAAGTTTTTCTTCATGTCCAGGGGGGAACTTTCTGTGCATTAGTTACTGCCCTTTGCCTCTTGTCCTAAATCTACCTGCCTTGTACTCTTGTATTAAATAAAGCCGAAGGTGTTTTAATATATTATAAATACGTACCTATAAATATACATTATGTAAAATACGCCTTTATAAAATATTATATTTCATTTTGTCTGGTCTGGTATTTAGGTTATTTCGCCAACAAGGTTTGACCGAGATCCCGAAAGCCGAAGCGCCGACTTCAGCTTTATTTTTACCTGTTTGTTTGTTTGTTTGTTTTAACGAGGAAACGTCTTTATTTACCTCAATATTAAAAGCCCTGCTTTCCGAGCTTGTTTTTGTTTGTTTTGTCATCAAGAGCACGTTCTTCCTCCCCCTTTTAGGACAGGCATTTCCTAGAAGGGAACGGCCCTCACGGAGCCCCCTCACGGGGGAGCGGGGGCGGGCAGGGCCGGGGGGGCGCGAGGAGGAGTCCGTGAGGGGGAGGAGGAGTCCCTGAGGGAGCGGGGACGGGGCGGAGAGCGGGGTCCCGTCACAGCGACACCCCTGAGGGCCGGATTCCCGAATTCCCGATTCCCGGATTCCCGATTCCCGAATTCCCGATTCCCGGATTCCCGAGGCGTTGCCATGGCGACGCGTCGGGGCGGCGCTTCCTGCGGGTGCGGCGCCCGACGCGGCCCGGCTGGAAACAGGCGAGGCGGCCTCGCCGCTGCCGCCCACGGAGCCGCGGCCGGGTTGTTTCCCTCCGGGCGGGCTGCGCGGCCCTCTGGCCGGCGGTGAAGGGAAGGTGCGGGGCCGGTGCGGGGCAGGTGCGTGTGCGGGGCCGGGCCGGGGGCTCTGAGGGGCTCTGAGGGGGCACGGCGGGACCGGGACCGGGGCCGGGGTGGGGGGGAAATGTTCCGGCGGCGCCACGGCCGGGCCCGCGCCCAGGCGGCCTGGCTGCGGAGGCCCGAGGTCCTTTTTCTTCCAGCAATTAAAAAAAAAAGAAAAAAAATTATAAAAACTGTTTATTTACACAGCTCTTGCCTGCCGGCGGTGATGTTTCTTATCAGGGAGTTCATGGTAAATCAACAACCCCAAGCTTGTGATTCCGCTGTACCCAGCTTGAAGCTCAGACACTGCCGTGCTGTTACTGGCATTTAATTCTCCTGTTCGTTTGTTTTTTTTTTTCTTCCTGGGCCATTGACTTGGTGAGAGAGGTTTTACTTAGAGACCTGTGCTAACTTTATGTTTTGGTTCGGTTTTGTTTGCTTGTTTTTACGTGCCCTGTTACTTTAATAGTAAAGAAAAAAAAAGTTAAAGTCTTCTTACCCGGCAGGCTGATGGAGTGTCCGTGCTGTGAATGTCATTATATTCATATATAATTTCATGTATTAATATAACTTAATATATTTCATATTTATAATTCCATATGTTGAATAGAATTTCATATTAATTATTCCATATGTTGAATAGAATTTCATATATTTCATGTTAATCATTCCATATGTGGAATAAAATTTCATATTAATTATTCCATATGTTGAATAGAATTTCATATTAATTATTCTGTATGTTGAATATACGTCATATATTCATATTAATTATTTCATATGTTGAATATGTTTTGAGTACTCAATATATTGAATGTACTGGGCCTATTCAGTATGTTCATATTTCAAAATCAAAAGTGTGTCTTTTAAAAAAGTGTGTATACAAAAGGCATTTCTATAACCTGGGCAGCATCAGAACAGTTCATTTTAGATGCATGATGATTTTTAAAAAAGAACGGATTGCTGCTGAAACACAATAAACTGAGAAACTTGGACAGGAGACACAACAGAACTTAAATCACTTCATGGAACGTGAATTAAACTCTTTTTTTGTGCAGTAGTTCTCATGTTGAGAACTATATACCTGGATGCTGATGTTATTGCTGGGAGCCCAGCTGACCTGGACTTGTTGATAATATCTGCTTGTAGCAGATTTTCTTTTGAAGTGTGTAGCAATTACTGGATGTGGTTATTATACCTTCACCTAGGGGAAAGCTCACCTTAAAGCACCAAATTGAACAGGGTTCAGAAGTTCTATCAGTCATGCTGGATATAAAATGCTGTTGGGTAAACGAGTTCCAGGAGTTTGGTAATTCTTGGCTCTCACTGGCAAGGAGAGTGCCTTCCCTGCCACTAAAATCTCATTGCATCTCCTCTTTAACTTCATGAATCGTGGTAGCCAGAGAAAAGGCTCTGTTCCTGGGAGTTCAAAACATAGCAAAGGAAATTAGGAATGATTTTATTTGTGAAGACTCACCCTGTCAGTGCTGGTGCTCAAGGACTCACAGTCTGTTCCGTGATCCTGGGGTTTGCCTCAATGTCCTTGCTTTTGCTTTTCCTGTTTCGAATTGTCATTCTGGTTTATTTGGTTTTCCTACACAGTGCTAAGAAGGCGGTTTCAAAGGTGGTCAGGCCTTTGGAAGGATGGCACAGAAGGATTGGTACCGGGTGCTGGGAGCCGAACCATCGGACAGCCCTGCGGAGCTGAAAAGGAAGTACCAAAAACTCGCCTTATTGGTAAGTGCACGTTGGATATTTAAGATGTGCAGAAGTGATTTTTACAAACCACTGAGCTGACAGCTTTGTTTTTACATAAGAACCTCAGAGTTCTACCAGCTTACTTTGTGTTATTCTTGGTTATTCTGTTTTACTCCCTTCCCTGAATTCAGACATTTTGCTCAAAAGATGCTTTTGCCTGGGTTTTTGAGGAAAACAGAGTGTCTTGTTTGATACTGTTGACTGTTTTCAACTGAATTTGATAGACAAACAGAATTCCCAAGGTAACTATACTGCTAGGTTTCTTGAAAACTGGTGACCTGGTAGAGAAGAAGAAAGGAGGTGAGCAGGACTCACTTTTATGGGAAAAACTCCCCTTTTTTTTTGGGAAGCTGCTAGCTAGACTGTCAGGATTGGCAGAGTGGTAGAGCACATGCATGGTAGGTTTGAGGTGTCAGAACAAATGTGAGAAGAAGTTGGGATTTAATGTGAGACAAAGGGAATGACAGTGATCATGGCATGAGTTTTGTTAGACATGAAATTCACGGGTTTGGGCAAGTGTTTGTTAATTTTCTTTTTATGTTGGCGTGTGGGTTTTTTTAATTATTTTATTTCTAACCACTCTAAAAACAGATATAGGAGGTAAATCCTTTGGTTCTCACTATTGAACATTGGAATAATCAATGTAGGGGAGGGCTTTGGGAACCAACTTCTTAGTTCCCCTTCTAATAGAAACAGTTGTTTTCTTGGACCTCCTAATGGTTTTGTTCTATTGAATTACTGGTAAAAGATGAATAATGATCAGTTTGTTCTTAATGAAGGTGATGGGGGGACCACAGTGTAAAATACCTTTTCTGTTCAGACAGGGAGCTAATTTAAACAGAATACTGTAATGGAATTAATGTATTTCTTCCCTATGAATCAATATGTCATAATGGAATTCAAGTCACATGTAAAGTATTGTTCAGAGCTGTTCCTGAACTGAAACTACATAGTCCCTTTCCTGTATGAATTTTTAATAAATGAAGCTGATCCTTTGTGTTATAGAGCTGTACTTTGGTGTAATTATCTTGAAGTCTATGGAGTGAGAACTGCCAAAATTTACAGCTGTCTGTCTATATCTCTAACTGTAGTTTTAGAAGATGAAAATAATCTTTGAATATACAAGCTTTTCTTTAGCACCTGTGTGTTTCCAGCCTAATTGGTTTGTGCTCTTTATTTGAAAAGTCAGGGAGAAGTGTTAGAGAAAATGAATATGCTTTGTTTTGTTTTGTTTTGTTTTTTTTTTTTTTCTTTTGGTGCCTGTGATGGATCTCTCTGACTAAAAAAGCCACGCTGATGTTTACTTGTAGGTGTTTTCCCAAGGCAGATCTGCTGCTTGTCTGTTGTTGTTACCATATGTCCTGTCTCTGTTCATCTTCTTCTTTTAGCTGAACAGACTCTGCCTGATTGTCTGCTTGTATGCTGATTGTACTGCAGCATCCAGCCCAGTCATTCTAAAGCCTTTAAAAGCATGGTGGCAATGAAACCATCATTGTTTTTATGGACTTTAAAACCCCCTTGGCTCTAGGAGTGGCTGGAGGCTACAGGGCGCTTGTTCCCTAAAAGTTGTTCCTACAGCTCCAGGGGGAGAGCCAGTGCCACAGATGTTGAGTGCAGGGGGTTCCACGGTTGAACAAGTTGTGAGACTTTGATAAAACAAGAGCCTGCCAGGCCATGTTAACACAAAAAAATGTTCCCTCTGAGTTCCAGATATTGGTGGGATAAATAAGGGAGGTGTTGCTGTGTATTTGTCTTATCCTGATGCTGTTCCCTAAGCATCTAGTGCTCATGATCACTAAAAAGTACAGCACTGGATGGACCTGTTGTCTTACCTTTTGTGTCCTGTTCAGGTGAAGTCACTCCTTTCTTCCCACACGTGTGCTTGGAGTTCTTGGTAACTCCACAGCTCCAGGAGCTCCTTTGGTTCTCCAAAGCTGTCCCTGGAGATGGTGGTGGTGGTACAAGCAGTGCCACCATTGGCATGGGGCAGGTCTGCATCCAGGTATTTTTGGGGACTCTGGCAGCTGGAATAGCAGATGAGCACAGCCTTTGAAAAGATTTCATGTCAACTTTCATGTTCAGCACAGAAAGTTTTCCAGCTTATGTGTAGCAGCCCAAGTTAATCTCCTGAAGAATTGTCCTAATCTCAAAATCCCTGACTTTGTAAAGCACCTTGCAGCGTGGACACCAGTTGCAATTAATGTGACATTAATTCTGAAATCACAGTGTTCTGATCTGTTCATTGGCATCGAGCAGAATAGATGGTGGAATTTCTTTTGAAGCACAATTCTGCTTTTAAAATAAAAAAAATGGCAAATGTCTGAGTCCAAGGCTTTTTCAAATGATCCCCAGTGCTTCGTGGTGAGCATTTGCTTTTTGCCATCTGCTATTTTCTCTATTTGTCAACACATGTACACTTAGCATCTTGAATGAACAGGCAGATGCAAATTTCCAAAGCTAAAAAGGAGTTGGAGATCTTGCCATATGCCATCCAAAAGATAACTAAATCTGCAGTTAAATCTCAGGATTGACCTTAATAATACAAAGTAGGGTGCAGTTAAAAATGGTCGAATTGTAGCTTTGCAAGAAGGACTTCACAGGGGCAAATTAGCTTAGAACTGGCGAGTTTTTAAAACAGGAGCTGTTTCTGTTAATTCTAACAAATGGATGATTAAAAAGGTTAATAACCCAGAACAAAACTGTACATAGACACCCCACTAGAGTGAATGTATCTGCTTACCTTTTTGCCATATTTTGCTTTGTTGCACTTAGTTTTTTTTTTCATTTGGTCAGGTCACAGCATACATTTAAGTGAATTATTGTACTATAGATAATGTCAAATCCATCTTGTTCACCCTGTCCTTAAGAGTAGTATTAACTTGACACAGAAAACAGGTTTGGCTTAAAAGTAGGTTTGATGTTTTCCCCACACACACTTTCTGAGTCTTTAAACATCTTTATAAATAATTTCCTTGCAACTTCATGGAACTTAAACTTGTATTTGAAAACATTTTTTGGGTACTTGCACGCGCACATGAAAATAAAACATTTTTATGTACTTATTTGACTCTGGATCATCTTGATACTGTATTATTGTAACAATCAGGAGCAGCTGAAGATGACAGACTTCTGGGCACAACATGCATGTGCCACTGTCAATTCTATAAATAGCTTATTTATTCAACAGAAATAAAACTTTTGTATTTGCAGGCTCATTTTCTCCACAGTTGGATTGCACAGTAGTTTCGACAAGGTGATTTCTGAAATGGATAAACAGGTTTTATGCTCTATACTTGTTTTTTTCAATGAATCCATGCAGCTTTTAGGAAGGACAGTGCTTATGTTCCGTTTCTGACTCTGTATGGAATTAGTTGAGGATAAAATTAGAGTAACAAAAATAGGATATTGGGGAGAAAAAAAAGTTATACCATCTTATTACTGGCGCAATTTTTACATCCCCTTTTGGTCTAGCCCTCTGTGGTCAAAGAATGAGTTGCCAGGTTGTTTTTGAATTTTCACCTAACTGCTCTGTATCTGAAAACTGCTTTTTACTGGGAATAAAGTCACCAAACACACAAGCTTTGTCTGGCTGAAAATCAGGTGTCTGTTCCTGTTGATGCTGATGATATTATAGGATACCTTTCAACTGGAAAAAAAATTATTGTGCAGGAAAATTATATGCTGCTGTTACAATGTGTGCCCTAATCTTAAAGAAAATCCATGTAATTTGAGCAGGCAGTATGCAAGAAGCTCTTATTTTTAATGTGGTGAGGAAATAAATGTGCCATTTAACACACGGTGTTACAAAGATTCTCTCTCTTATCAGAAGGGGTGTGTGTATAAATACAAAGTGTTAAGGGGCTCACTTCATCTATTTGCTAGAGCAGAACATTTGAAAACAGAGCATCAGGCATAGGTGGGAATGACTCTCAGCAACCATAAGGAAAGATATTAATAGAAATTTAATGTAATGAAGCATAATAACTTCAAGAAGAGGTTATTCCATGGAGCATGTTTAGGGGAAAGACATATGACTTTCTGAAGAGAAAAAAAAAATCCCTTGTACCTTATTAGATTTATGCACATCTAAATTCTGCAATCACAAGAGAGATATAGAGGATGTCACGTGTGTAAAGTTAAAGGGCTGCTTGCAGGATTGTTGTTTTAAAGTTTGCTGCAAAATAAATCCAGGATTACTCCTGAAAGGACCTCCCTACCCAGGAACTTTGTGCTGAGTTCAGATCAAGAATGTGAACTTCCAAAAGGAAAACACTTTGAGTTTGGTGTTGGAAGTCACATAAAAATGCTTCTCGCACTGAAAATCAGGCAGTGTGTGTATTCCTTTTTTAACAGCCCTTGCAGGGTTTTTATTTTATATTTGAACAGCAGCAGCTTACTTTTTAGAGGTGTTTTAATAGATCATCACGCTTAGCTAACCCCACCTCCACACAGCTGGTAGAAAATGCGATTTCTAATTTGCCAGTGTAGACAGAATAAGTTCAGTGGAGCCTGGTTGGAGCTGGACTGAAGTCAATCTGATTGATTTCTAAACTTAATCTGTTTACTTACTGGTTATTGTCCGTGTTTTGTTTGTTATAATGAGAATCCTCTGCAGGTTTAAGGTACATACATAACAGAATGGGCAGCAGGCAGTTGAAATGTGAGATTTGGCTAATACATGCTTGGCCTTTGATGTCATTTGTGCTCTGCAGAGGAATCTGATGGCTCTCTTGGGCATTTTATGCGCTGGTTATGTAAGTTATTAATTGTAACAATATATTAAAAGAAGGGTCTATACTGTCTTTGGTAGACTTTTAGTGAAAGGGGTTCAATACTCACTGTGTCCTGAGGCAGCATAAAATTAAAATTCTGATTAAAAATAACATCTGAAGCACTAGCTCATTTAATGCCACAGCAATGCAAGTGTTCTTTCCCACTTGTGAAGGAATATTTAAGGGGGGTTTATACTGTGCAGCGTG